ACCCGAGCCTTGGCGGCCAGCCAGCATGCCTGGACCCTCGTCCAGGGTGGTTGCTGGCTGTGCTCCGTGTGCCGTCTCCTGGTTCCTGGGTCCAGGGTCGAGGAAGCGGCCGAGTCTTCGTGTACCCCCGTCCATGCCCCTAGGGTTGGCGGGGTGTCGGCGTCCCGAGCAGCACTGTCAGGAGCAATTCGTATTCGATCCTTGGGAACCAAGTGGCCCACCCGTCTCATGACTTGTACCTGTGGCAAGGGCACAGTTTGTATTTTTGCAATGTGTGCGGTTCGACGGCCACCCTGAAGTTGGTTGGGCTCGCCAAGCCGTGTGACCGCCCCTCCAGGAAGGGGCGAGAGAATCTCACACGGATCTGGGATGGTGAGGTCCCTAGCTATGCGGGCTTGCCAAAGGGGGCCAAGGGTGCCTCCCTGATTGTCCAGTCCGGGGTAGTGTCGGCTCCTGTCGAGGGCTCCAGCGAGGGACCTCCAGAGAGCTCGTAGGTTGGTAGGCGGGACAATGCGTCCCTTTGTATCTCTTATCTCTCTTATCCGCCTCCTCCTTCTCCTCCTCCTCTTCCCCCTCTCCCTCCTCCTCCTCCTCCTCCTCCTCCTCCTCCTCCTCCTCCTCCTCCTCCTCCTCCTCCTCCTCCTCCCCGTCCTCGCCCTCCCCTCCTCGGGTCGCCTACGGCCCCGGGGGAAACCGTCCAGTTTCTGGCTTCTCGGTGGCATCACTTGAAAGGCACTTTGACCATCTTGGGGCCATCTCGGGGCCATCTTGAGGGCCATCATGGGGCCAGGCTGGAGGCCATCTGGGGCCAAGTTTTGGCCAGCTTGCGCCGTCTAGGGAGGCCATCTTGGGCTGTCTGAGATCATCATGTAGTCATCTAGGGACTTCTTGTCCCCTCCAACAATCCACGACTCCCCCAGTTCAGACCCACAGGAGGGGGGGTACAGGGGGCCCGCAGGAGAAGAATGGGTTGCTCTGGAAGAGCTAATCCGGTGAATCTCCCATGCCCCAGGGGGGGGCTGGTCGGAATTCGGTAGCTTCGATTGTTTGCATGCGTGTGAGGGTTGCACCCTTGGAGCAACTGATCGCCCCATGACGTCATTCTTGGGGCTTCGGTGTCGCTTTTATGCGTGAGGGTTGCACGAGAAGACCCTCAATCGCCCAAGAACGCCACCAGACCCTTTTTGGATCAAACTGCTTTTGAGAGAGTATATCCTTGCGAAGCGCGCTGCCGCTGCGTCATCCAATCGGGTCGGCAAACGATGTCGTCCACCGTTGTGCTCGACGTGGAGATGTCATGCGAGGGCTGCTCGGGCGCCGTCAAGAGGATCCTCGGCAAAATTGAAGACGTTGGCAACGTGGACATCGACATGGCGGGGCAGAAGGTGACGGTCACTGCCAAGGCTGACAAGACGCTGGACGACGTCTACATCCTTGAAAAGTTGTCCACCTGGGGAGTGGCCGCCGGCAAGAAGGTGGCCTTAGCAAACTCCTGATCACGATCTGGTGGTGAGGCGTGCGGGGCCTTTCTTCTTCCTCTTGTCAGTTTAGCAGCCACCGGTCATCTGGAGTAACTGCCTGCTTTCCCGTGCTGCCGCCCACCTCATACTGCACTCCTTCACTGCCCGCCCTTCCCTTCCCTTCCTCCCCCTCGCCTCGTCGTTGCTGCGCACTCGCTCGCTCGCTCCCCCCCCTTTGCTCGCTTCCTCCGTCCTCCTCTCCGAGGCCGCGGCCTCCGCGCCACGACCCTGCGGGCACGGGCGGGCCCCCTGCCCGATGGAGCGCGCGCGTCCTGAGCCCTCTTTGGTCTGTCCCGCGTGCACGTGCTGCATGCGAGCACGGGCTCACCGCGACGGCAGCCCGCAGGGGGGATGAGGGCTCAGGAGGCACGGAACCTCCCCTGCCCCCCTGGGGGCCCGACAAGACAGCCTTCCTGCGTGGTCTGGGCGGGATCCCACTCGACTGATGTGCGCTAGTCTCCGACCCACTCAAGATAAGGTGCCCGTAACCCCTGGGCGGGATGCAACTCCCACGTTTCGATTGTGTCCCGACGTTGTCTTGGGATCACATCGAGAGCATCTCCAGGTCATGATTGGGGTAATGCAGTCGTGTTCTGGTAATGCTTCGGCCGCTTTAGGCATGCCTGGGCCATCGCATGGTCGTTTGAACATCTCGGGATCAACCGTTGCATACACCCACCTGAGGGTTGCCCTGTTGCCAGCTGGAAGCCACGTCGAGATCATGAGCGGATCACTGAGTTCTCTTGGGGTCGCTTTGAGGACGTGGTGGGTTCGAGGCGCGTCGACGCCGCGTCGAGTCCGCTGCGGGCGTTCAAGGTTGAACGCCGCCAGTGGCATCGGCAGGTATGGGACGCTCAGGCGATCGGAAAGCCACCGATCGTTCAAGGTTGAACGATCCACGCGACGTCGGAAACCAACGCCAGGGCCGCCAGGACACGAACCTGCCGCATCGTCGGGTCGCTTGGTAATTTGAGGCAGTCTCGGAAACGCGGTGGGGTCGCGAAACCGCCTTGGCATCGTTCGGGTCGTCTTGAGGTCTT